TTTTCATATATTGTTCTTCGCTTATTTACTTTTCTGTTGCTACTGTTACAATCACTATAAAACTGCTACCGTTACTTTTGCCATCGTTACCACTACTATCATATTACTTTGCTACTAAATACTTGCTGCAGATATTAAGTTTCCAGGTGTGGTTGAATTGACAACTCAGCTGCTAATACTTGAGAATATTATTTGGCTCCCCTTGTGTCGAATCAATAAATTTGGGTTGAATACTCTACCCTCGAAAACAGTTGCGATCCCCTATACTTGTGGGTTATTAGTCCTCTAGGGACGCGATCACCTCCAGAAGTAGCCTCGTGCTCTTGAAGACGCAGGTTGATGATTCCCAAGATTTCAGCCACAACGGAGATCCCCCGAAGAAGGCTAGCAGGCCGGCCTTAAGGCCGAACGGATAAAGCCACATATTTTGCCAGACCCCCATCGACCTGGGAAGGTTCATGGGGAAGAAGGATGAATGAGTATGCAGCTAAATGCTGACCCCACCAATATCACGAACGGAGCTGCCGCTCATGTGGCCCTTCATGCAGAAGAAGCGCTGGAAGAGGCCGAAGTGGGGGGCAACACCAAGAAAGCACTCATAGAACGTAATGAAGTTCGCGATGTGGAGAATACTGGTGGGGTTAAGGTGATGAAGCTGAATGCCAAGAAAGAAGAGGAGCCCCCACACGAAGGAGCGTAGGGGGAAGCCGAGGCCTCGTCCAAAGAAGTCGAGGTGGAGGATGCGCGCGTCGTCCGACGGCGCCGGGAATTCCTCAGTGGAGAGGGGGATGCGATACCGGAGGTCGAACGAGAATGACCCCTCCACCCTCAGCTTCTGGATGTCTCAGTCCAAAATCACGGAACAGGCCCACAGACTGCTGAAGACCTCGGTGCTGGGTTGCGATTCGGCGGCAGCGCTAGAGTCTTCCGCCTTCCGCCTTTTCTCCGCTTCCTTGGTCGCCCGAATGCTGCCGGCCCCGGTCGAGGACCCCAGACGACTCATCTCTCATCTCGTGGGGGAAGAAATGGCGGCCCCGAAGATGATGAACGTCGCTATGGCAGCAGAGCGAAGATGCAAGGAAGTAGAAGTGCAGGGAAGCAGAGGCACGAGGAAGCGGGTGGAGTGGAAATGACGCCTTGCCGCCACACCGCTCTTATGATCCTCCACGGAAGAGCTGGGAATCAAGGCGTCCCTATGCGCCACATATCCCAAGAACCATGGGTGGTTCCCATTCACGTCCTGCATGTGCGAGAATCAAGGCCAATTTACCACATCAAGATGTGCTTCAGCCCGTTCTCCACCACTGATGCAACGGTTCAGATAAAGAATGGTGGCCCTCTCCACCTGTCAAACCTAAGTTAGGGAGAGGAGGCCTAACGGCCGTGGCAGCGTTGACCAAGCGGTGTCCCCAAGAAGCAGGCATCCGACCTTCTTCAAGCCATCAAGACAACAACCTCGTAGCCGGGCTCCAGGAAGATGACGTGACAAGGAGCCCACCATAGGTCTTGTGACACTCACTGCGACCTCCGCCGATCTCAGGGACTACTGACGGGATCCTGTAGTAGGGATGGCTAACGCCAAGGAGCCCAACCTCATCAACTACAAGGGGGCCCAACAGCCCACGGCCTGGCACTAACCCTAGTGGGCCAGACGACCTTCTTGACGCTCAAGACTAGAGGACGTCGGTGCCCCCAGATCGCATCCAGGATGTAAACCCTAGGCCTCTCCTATCTGTATAAAGGGAGGTCTAGGGTTCCTCTTGATCCATCTATCCTTAGATAGGAGAACTCTCGGTAGCAACATCATACACCATTATAACCCCTCGCACGAGGTATCCCTCCATTATGAATAACCGAAACCAGCAGGATAGTCTATTACTCTCCGAAGGCCTGAACCTGGATAAACCCCTCATGTGACCTCCAATACGTGACTTCTAAATACGCTTGGACCCCTATCGAGGGATCTGACAGAAATCTGCTCCGTCACCCGGAAGAGTAGCACCAAAATCATGCTAGCCAAGCCACCGCTGATGGGCACCACCACAACAACATGACAATTCCGTTTTTGGCAAAACTCGTCATCATTCTCAGACTATTTAAGCTGTTATAGGTGATGATGGTGACATTGTTCATTGCACACTAGTTTTTTAGGGCCAGAGTAAAGACTCAGGGAGGTAATACATTCAGAGAGTACGAGTTCCTGCACTCTCAATGAGACAGAAGCAATGAGTTCTAGATCACCCGATCGTCTGGCCTCGGTAGCAAGTTCATGAGCCACCTTGTTACACTCCCTAGCAGCATGGCCCACTAGTTTTCTTTAATACGGGAAGGGGACCAAAAGGTCGCCGAAGATGTTGGTTATTACATTAAAAGTGATACAACACTACAACGACATTGAAAGAAACAGAAATTACAACCACATCCTCTCTTTTTGCAAACAAGACTTTGTCATTGCTGCTTTGCCACCAACTCTGGTTGAACCTTGCCAGCACCTAGCGAAGGAACGAGGCTCTCACCATGGAGGTTGGATAGGGTATGCTGGAACTTGCTTGTTTGATCTCTTGTTCCAAAGGTTGGTCTTGATGTGGGGGAAGAAGATTGACATATAAGCATCCACGCAGCTTCGAAGTCCCTAAGGATACGAGATATGAATGGGAAAAACATCTATCCACCCTCCTCCTTCTTTCTGCCTATATGGCGATGGAGAAGGAGGAGAGCGAAAGCCTGATGCATCGAATCCACCACTCCATGAAGCTTGCTAAGGGAGAGAATGAAAAACAAACTTCCTTCCTACTTCGCTAGCCACCACGGCCGCAGAGAGGAAGGAACAATCCACTAGCAACCGATGCCACCCGTAGGCACTAGAGTACATCTAAACCGTAACGCCAGTTGCCACCAAGGCTACCCTATAATACTCATAAACCTAGCCCTAACATCTACAATGACAACCCCACCACCTCTCCCACTCCCCTGCTAGCTGACGTCGCCGCCCGATGAAGAGGGAAGAGGAGCTAAGAAGCTTCGGGGCAACTCTCAAGATGTGGAGGGGACAAAGTGAGGGGCCTCCATTACCTCTCCCATGTCCCTCTTTTATTTTCCATGTGGCAGTTATATATGGGTTTGATCAAATAACCAAAAAGTGGGTACTTAACCTCATTTCATACTAAAAAACTACATTATACCGAACTTGTTCTATAGTTTTTTAGTTAGAAAAATAATATAATATAGAAAACAAATTAATCGGGCATGTAACAAATTATCCCTCAAAACGCTAAAGGTGACCTAGGGAACTTTAGATATACGGTACCACACACACTCTTCTTTCAAACATGTTTTCAACCTTCCTCACTTCACCAAAAACATCGGCCCTATTCAATGACAACTCCATCAAATTACTTAGGGTCGTTCATTTTTATAGTACACCAAATTAAGGTTGGTGGCCCCGTTATTCTTTTACAGTACATCAAATTACTTAGGGCCGTTCATTTTTCCCACATACCAGGGTTTCTGGCCTCTACTGTTCAGATCACACTGCCATCTTCACCATCTTTGATGACAGTTGCAGATTCCTTCAAGGACTAGCTAGTTCTAAAAATCGGCAGGCTCCTACTCGCCTAGCCACCATCGCCGTTGTCATGGTCCTCCTATGGGCCTTGCTAAATTTATTGTGTTTACATAAAAAATACGACATACCAACATGAGAGC